AAAGAAGATAGATGATGATGGTGTTTTGTTTTGTTTTGTTTTGAGACAGAGTCTCATTCCATCACCCAGCTGGAATGCACTTTGCAATCAGGGCTTACTGTAGCCTTTCCAGGCTCAAGCGATCTTCCTGCCTCGTCATTTTTATTTTTTGTAGAGACGGATCTCACTGTGTTGCCCAGGCTGTCCTTGACTCCTGGCCTCAGGTGGTCCTCCTGCCTCAGCCTTCCGAAGTGCTGGAATTACAGATGTGAGCCACTGAGACTGGCCTGAAATCCAATTTTTAATGTTGCCTCAAAGATACTGAAAACATGGTGAGGGACAAATGGTATGTCCGTGGGACACATCAGACAGTGACCGTCGATTTGCTAGTTTAGCCATTCACTGGGGTACAAGGTGAAGCCTGAAGTTTTCTCAACTTCAGACTTGAAGTTAAAGTGCTTCTCTCCACTTCCAGGGATTGGCGCCCCTGTGCCAGACAGAGCAAACGGGAGGTAGGAGGTAGCTGCTCTTCGACCCCTTTCTCCTTTTCCTTGGCCGTCTGCAGCCACACCACACTTGGTCCCCACGCTGACCAGCTAAGGGTGTGTTGAGCCCGCCTGAGGTCCAAGCCTTCCCTCTGCCCAGAGCTGGGGACCCCTGTCCAGTGGACACTCCTGCTCACAGACCCTTCGTATTAGGTGGCTCCTTCCTAGACCGCGGACAGAACTTGGGCCGCAGAACAGAACCAACACCGGGGCACAAACCACTACTCAGGGCTGCTTCCTGGGATGGGGAAGAAAGGCTTTGGGAGTGGGCACACCAGGGCACAGGGCACTTCTCCTCCAGGTCCTTAGCCCGGCCACCCCGGTCCTTCAAGTGGCAGGAACGACCCAGACTGCCCTTGGCTGAGCGCCGTTGTGAGCTGGTGCCTCTGCCTCGGCCACAGTCGCAATGGCGGAAAATCCAGAGCCAGAACTGTAGTTATGCAAAAGACTGTGGTGCTCCATACCCACCCTGGGTGGCGAGGCCTGCAGGCAAGCATTGTGTGCATGCGGTTGGCGCCTGCAGTGAACACGTCCATCCCCCACCCCAGGTGCCCCATGCACCTGCCCTACCCAACGGCCTCACCCGGGTGAGCGCGCGGCACAAACAAAAGGGACGGTGAGGCGCCTGGACCCCAACCCGGAGACGCTGAAATTAGGGTTTTTGACGTGGGACAGGTGGAACTGGAGTTAGAAGGTGAGTGTTAGGAGAAGGTCCCGTAGACAGGAGTCAGGAGACCCAAGTTAGTCGTGGGACTGTCACTACCTAACTGAAGTGGCCCAAGATTTCAGTGAGGCTATAGTTTTTTTTTCTTTTCCTTTTTTTTTGGTGGGGCCTGGGGTGGGAGGGTGGCAGACAGACCCTTTCTCTGGTGCCCAGGTGGGCATGATGACAACTCACTGCAGTCTCAACCTCCAGGGCTCAAGTGATCCTCTCACCACAGCCTCCTGGGACTATAGGCATGTGCCACCACGCCCCGCTAATGTTGGTTTTGTTTTTTTTTTTCCTGAAATGGAGTCTCACTCTGTCGCCCAGGCTGGAGTGCAGTGGCACGATCCCATCTCACTGCAACCTCCATCTCCCTGGCTCAAGCAATTCTCCTGCTTCAGCCTCCTGAGTAGCTGGGATTACAGGCGCCTGCCACCATGTCTAGCTAATTTTTGTATTTTTGGTGGAGATGCGGTTTCACCATTGTTGGCTAGGCTGGTCTCGAACTCCTGACTTCAGGTGATCCACCCGTCTCAGCCTCCCAAAGTGCTGG